CATTCTTACCTAATATGTAGTATATTTTTATCTATATATATATATATGTATACATATATATTGATTAAAGAAATAAAAGATACATAAATTATGATGAAATATACAAAAGTTTATTGAATATTTTGAATATGTATATACTTTGAATTTTATTTGATTTATATATTTATAAAATATTTATTAGTTATTAAATTGTTACATTGCAATTTTATATTATAGTAGATTCTTAATTTCATAACAAGTATGATATATTTTATTCATTTTAATAACTTTTTATATTTTTTAATATTTAGATGCACCATGGTGTGGACATTGTAAATCTTTAGCACCCGAATATGCTAAAGCAGCTAAAAAGTTAGAAGAGGATGGTAGTCCTGTAAAATTAGCTAAAGTTGATGCAACAGTTGAAATTGAATTAGCTGATAAACATGAACTTCGTGGATATCCTACTCTTAAATTTTATCGTAAAGGGTCTATTATTGATTATAGTGGTCATCGTCAAGCACATGATATTATAAATTGGGTAACAAAAAAAAGTGGTCCTGCTTATAAACACTTGACAACAGTTGATGAAGTTAAATCATTTATAGAACCAAAAGATGTTGCTATTATAGGATTCTTTAAGGTATTGCTATGTTACTTATGCCTTTTAAAAGATAATGTTTTTATAATTAAATTTTCATTAATTGCATCATAAAATTTTAAGTAATGAAATATAATATATATTTTATTATCTTGATTAGGATATGAAATCAGATGGTGCAAATGCATATTTAAAAGTTGCTAATGCTCTTGATGATCATGTATTTGGTATAAGTGACAATGATGAAGTTTTCAATGAATATGGAGTAGAAAATGGTAAAATTGTTATATTTAAAAAGGTATATCATTTCTAAGTTATTCTACTTTTCTTTATAAATATGTTAATTATATAACTTACTTTACTTAATATTTGTTTATAGTTCGATGAAAGCAGAAGTGAACTTAATGAAGAACTTGATGTTAAAAAATTACAAAATCTTATCTTTGTATATACACTTCCTTTAGTTGTTGATTTTAATCCAGATACTGCACAAAAAATATTTGATGGTAATATTAAGAAACATCTTCTTGTCTTCCTTAGTAAAGAAGCAGGTCATTTTGAAGAATATATAGACAAGATTAAAGAACCAGCAAAAAAATTCCGTGGGGAGGTATGTATAAATATAAATAATATAAAGTAACATTGTGTGATAAGTAGAATTATTACAAATACTAATATTTGTTACATTGTGCAGGTTGTATTTGTAAAAATTAATGTTGATGAATCTGATCATGAACGTATCTTAGAATTCTTTGGTACAAAGAAAGATGAAGTACCTGTTATGCGTATTATAACACTTGAGCAAAATATGACTAAGTACAAACCAGACAAACCAGAATTAACTAGTGAAAATATTGTGGAATTTGTAACTGCATTTCTTGAAGGTAAACTGAAAAAACATTTGCTTACAGAAGATTTACCAGAAGATTGGGATAAGAATCCTGTAAAAGTTCTTGTTGGTACTAACTTCCATGAAGTTGCTTATGACAAAAACAAGAACGTTTTAGTTGAATTTTATGCACCATGGTGTGGACATTGTAAAAACTTGGCTCCAATATACGAAGCAGTATGTTTCATTTATGTATTTTTTACTTTTATGACTTACACAAAATTTTTACAAATATTTAGATATAATGCTATATATTTTTAGCTTGGAGAAAAATATAAAAATACTGAAGATTTAGTTATAGCAAAAATGGATGCTACTGCAAATGAATTAGAAGATGTAAAAATTATTGATTATCCCACAATTATACTCTTTAAAAAAGAAACAAATGAGGCAAGGATTTTAGATTTAATACAATTCTTAATATCAACTGATATTAGTGAGAGAAATATTTTTTAAGTTAAATAAATTTTTAGGCTGTAGAATACCTTAATAGAAGAACACTTGAAGGACTTTCTGAATTCATCGACTCTAATGGTACTTCTAGAGTGGCTTCAGAAGAAGTTCGTAATAAATTTATAGCTGATATTAATTATATTATAATAATATTAAATTATAACATTTATTTTTACAGGTTCAAGAAGATGATGAAGATGATGATGTGCCAAGAAAAGATGAATTATAGACATATATCACGAAAAAAAAATTTTAATAATTCCTTATAACTACTGTTTATAAACATTGTAATTCTACTTCAAAGATATTAATTTATAGAAGACTTCTTAATCATTCATTTTTTATTTAAGTTCATAAGTCAATATTTCAAATTATATAATTAATTATCAAAAATTTATTTGCAGTTTTATATACAATTTGTTTATATATATATATACACGCGCGCATACATACATATATATACATATACATACATACGTATACGTGTATATATACATATATATATAAATTATACACATGTGCGCACGCACATGTGTGTAAGAAACATAAATATGTATATATTAACATGTATATGACTACCCTTGGAAAACTATAATGTTTGAATACAATAACTTTATCTTGTGATGTTATGGTGTATGAAGGTATAACTTGTGAAAAATCATTAAGCTAAGGTTTCCCTAAAATCGTAAATCGTATTTTATTTTTATAAAATTTTTAAATAAATATATATATTTATAAATTTTAAATAAAAGTAAATACGCGAGCGTACAACAAACACATATTTAAGAAATATTACTTTTAATACAGGAGAGTAATTACTCTAAAGAACTGTATTATTAAAATTTGTGATTAATTAATACATTTTTATTTACAGAATTTAAATAATTTATGATAGTTTTACAAACTTTTAAGGTAGAAATGATTTTAATAATTTTATCAATTTAATTAAGTAAAAGTTTTATAAAAAGAATTTTACATATATATTTATCTTTATCTCATTTTCATAAACAAACCTAGTAAATCATAATATCTATTATACTTAGTAATATCTTGAAAAATATAGCATGTATAACAAAAAGAATTGTGAAATGTATCATAAATATATTGTACTTACGTGATACTTTATGAATAAGAAGCACAGTTAACACTTTGAGTAATATATAATATTTTATTCATATTAATCCTCTTATATTAGATATTAATACTTTATTTACCAATTTTCATTTCTTTCTTTTTTTTTTGTTAGAAACAGCAAGATTTGAGAATAGAAATGGAAGACATGTTTAATCTTTCAAAACTTATTAAATTTTTACATCAAATCTTGGTATTTACAGAGGAAGTGAAGAATATATTAAAATCAAATTGTGATGAAGCAGTATATTGCTTAAAACCATGGTATTTGGAAATCAATTCACTCAACAGTAGTAAAGATGCTTGTCCAAATGTAAGGTCATTAGTAAGTCTATATAATTTTTTATATCAAAGTTACGTTACTTCTTTTTCTTTTAAAAGTCTAAAGCTGAAGTTGAAGTTCAAGAAATTGCTGCAGGGATTAGTAGAGTATTAACACAAACACAACAGTTACGAGAAAAATTATCTTTTAATACAACAGAAAAAAACAGAAAAAAATCCAAGACATTTCAGTATGAATGTTTCCGAGAAACTGGTAAATATTTAAAGAAATTATGAAAGTTATTACAAAAATAACGTTTTAATTAATTCCTTAATTACAATATTATTACATATTGTTAATCGTAGAAAATAGAAAACAAAAGAAGGTACAAAATTTGAGTGTAAATGATAAAAATGTATCGAATTATATTTCAAATAATTCGAAACAAAACATGAATGCCGCAGAATCAAATATGCAGACGATAAATATTGATAAAGGATTACAAAATAAGATAGCACAAAGAGATGCATATATGACACATAAAAAAACAAAAAGTGAAAGTAAACAATTAACACATACAGTAAAATCGTTAGAAAATAAAAATTTTCTTGTAATAAACAAAAGAAATATTAAAAATATACGGGAAATTAAGCAGTGTAAAGATATAAACAAGTTGAAAAATAATGTTAGATCTAATAGTGTCATAACACAGGTAATCATTTTTATGAAATATGTATATATTGTATTTCTGTATTTGTTTGATTTTAATAAGATCTTAAGTATAAGAAATTTTATTATACTTTATCAAAATGTATTTACACAAAATACTTATATTTATGTATATCTTCTACTTTAAATACCATTTAACATATTTTAGTTTATATGATGAAATATAAAAATAATAATTTTTTATATATGAATATCTTTGAATTTAGTTACTGTAAATGCTAAAAGTGTTTTATACTTATTGTACACTTTAATGAGTGGTTCAATAAGTAACATAAAAAGAAAAAAGAAGGAATATATTGTACACAATATACCCGCGTGCGCGTGTGTATTTACTACTTCTAATTTACAGTCAAGATGTACTATGGTTTGCAAAAAGCAATCTGTAACATCCACTAATGAATTGAAAAATCTAATTCAGAAAGTGTCAGCTAAATCTAATAATTATACACTTTCTAATGAGTATAGTGTAAAATACCCATTACATGAAGAGACAATTTCGCAATCTATGTATGAGCAGAATTTGATAGTTATGAACATGATAAACAGCTTCGATGCAACTAATATTCCTGAAGAAATAATTAAATCATTGAAAATTTATTATACATATTTGAATATTGAATTCACACAAAAATCATGTAATGAAAAATTGCAAAAAGTATTACATGTATTTTTGGTACAATTCAACAATATGGTAAGTGAATTTAGTACATATAAAAGTAAATATATTTAGATGTATACTTTTGGATTGCAGAATGGAATTATACACAAAAATCTAATATATAAGGATAATATCATAACTGTTCTCCTTAAATTTATATCTTTATTTCAATCTCTTTTCTCTCAAAACATAGAGATGTTCAATTTAAGAAGTATTAAAACAATATACACAGAATTAAGTTCGGCATGGAAAATGTATGAAGTGAAAGAAGTTAATATCAAACAAGTTTTGAAAAATAATGTATACAATACACTACATGTTACTTCTAATACAACAGAATGCATGTCAAATGGGATTTGGAATTATTTTTATAATAGAAATTTTGAAGGTATAATTGCATTTTCCCTTCTAGTTATTTTATATTGTTATTGTTATTTTATTCTATATTGTTTCTAGGAGTATTAAAAACATCTTGTATACGTTATACAACAAAAGATCAATTATTTTTGTTCTTCAATATAATACAACATTTACAATATATACAATACCATGATGATTTAATTGAGATTATTACAGAAGATGTACTTCCTAATATGAACATCTTTTCTGATTCTACTCAATTGGAATATATAAAAATATATAAAATGATTTCTATTCTTTATCAAGGTCTAAATCCAAAAATTCCTGTTTTAGTAAGAATTGATAAATAAAAATCTTAACACTTTTTATTATTTAGAAATAGAAAGAGAAATAGAAACATTAATACATTTATCATCTATGTTACCATAGTAACTAGAAACACTCACACGCGCACACACACACACACATAATTCTTAGAATTTACACAATTAATATTTTATACATACTGTGCATGTTTCTAATTTAATATCTTGGTATATTTCCTCTTATCAATGAAATAAATATAAATGATTAATTTACAATTGATAGTTGTTATTTCAAATATTTAAAAATTATTTATTTTTTATTTTAATGTTTTTTGAAAAAACTATATTTAAATAAAATGTTTATATAAGTTATTACAGACTAATTTTATATGACCTCACTGATTATTAAATACCTACTGATTATATTAAAAATAAAAATTTAGAACACGAAAAATTTCAATATGCAGTACACTTATACAAAAAAACGACTACAATTTGGAAGACAGTGTAACTTCACAAATTATCAGACAGTAGAAGCTGACATTAAATCACATACAGGGTATATGAATCACTATATTCAAATAGATCCTGCAACCCAAGGAACTCAATGCAGTAAAATATATTCTGTTCATGAGGTACAAATTCATGTTTAAAATTACGCATATATATATGCATATCATTATTGTACACTAATATTTTTAGATAAATACAAATACTGCAATATTTCGAGATAGTGGTATGTATCATTCCGAAGGTGGTTGGCCAAAAGATTTAAACGTAAAAGATGTAGAACAAACAGTAAGATATAAGCGTAAAGTAGAAAAGGATGAATTGTATATTCATACAATGCTTCAATTGTTGCCTGTAATTTTCTTTTGAACTTGTTTTTTCTGTTTGAACAATTTACTATGAATAATTCTGGCAATAATATATTTTATAATTATTTTTAGCCAATGGAACAATGTATTTTACAGAACAATGCTTGTAATATTTATGAACAATATTTTAGTTATATGGAACCAATTTCTTTAATACAACGAGTATATTCACGTACAGTTAATGTATATCGTGATCTTTTACCAATAAAGAGACAAATAACACATCTTTCTTGGTCACCAGATCAAGGAAATCGTTTTGCAGCTAGTTACTGTAATACTGACTTTAAAAATGCAATGAATGATAATCCTCAGTCATATATCTGGGATGTGGGTAAGTTAAATTAAATAATTCTGAAATATATAAGAAAAATGAATAGATTTACATTTATAGAAAATCCAAATATGCCTTGTGTAGTTTTGAAACCATTTTGCCCAATTTTAACATTAGAATATAATCCCAAAGATAGTAATATATTGATTAGTGGATTAATGACTGGTCAAGTAGCTTATTGGGATATTAGGAAAGGATCAGAACCAGTTGAAACAAGTTTAGTGGAATTTAGTCACAGAGATTTATGCAATAAGGTTTTATGGATAAATTCTAAAACTGGCATGGAATTTTTTAGTGCTTCAAAAGATGGACAGGTATAACAGACTATAAAATAATATAAGAACATGTAAATATAATAAACACATGTATTAATTGCAGATAATGTGGTGGGATATTAGAAAATTGCAAATACCTACAGAAACATTAATAATAGATTTATATAAACCTGATGATCAAAATATTAATAAAGCAATTGGGATTTCAGCATTACAATTTGAGCCATCTATGGGTACACGTTTTATGTGTGGTCTTGAAAGTGGTAAAGTAATAAAGGATTTTATATTAATATTATTTATAATATTTATTTATATATACTTATATTTAGGAATAGTTATATCAGGAAATCGTAAAGGTAAAACTCCAAGTGAAAAAATTGCAACAAGATTTAAAGCACAATATGGACCTGTGATAAGTTTAGAAAGAAATCCAACATTTGTTAAAAATTTTTTAACTGTTGGTGATTGGACAACAAGAATTTGGTCTGAAGATTGTAAAGAATCTTGTATTGCTTGGACTCCGTAAATATTTGAAATTATCTATAATATAATATACATTAATTATATACATTTAATATATATTTATGTACAGGCTGTTTCGTTGCATGTGGGAAGTATGGCAAGAATAGATTTGGGCTATAAAAATAAAAAAAAGGAGTTCATATAAACATATGTCCTATTTGATCTTGTTTACAAGTTGTAACAAATTTTGTTTTACAATAAACGTTTCCACATATAAGATACATATGACAAAAATATTAGTTCAATGTCATTATGAGGTCAGAATTTGTAAATAGTACTCGATATTTTACTATATATTACTAAAAAATAATTTTGTTGTGAATTAAAGGTGCAAACTATATGTATATTAGCATTTTGAATTTTTGACACAAATTGACGATTACACACAATAATGCAGTAATTCGTTACAAAGATATCTTTTGTAACACACAGTACAATACAGAGTGCTATTTATAAATTCTGATCTCGTAATAACATTGAATCAATATTTATGTTGTACGTATCTTATACGCAGGAAGGATTATTATAACATAAAATATGCTATAACTTTACAAGTTCATATTGGACATGTTTATTTGATCCTTTTTTCTTATTTTTATTTTTTATTTTATATTATTTTATTTTGTATTAATTTTATTATCCCAAATCTACTCCTGCGCTATTTCCCACTTACAACTGAAAATCCCATATATTAATTTATACATATAAAAATTGATAAGGATTACTAAAATTTTATTTAAATTATGTTTCAGTGGTCATAGAGATTTTTTAATGGGTGGAGCATGGAGCTTAACACGATTTTCTGTATTTTTTTTAATAAAAATGGATGGAACTTTGGATGTATGGGATTTATTAATTCAACAAGATTCTCCAGTTCTTAGTGTGAAGGTATGTCTATTTTAATATTATACAACAATTGCTAATAAAAAAGGAACAACGTTTTTACTTGAATTTTCAGAAGCATTAACAACTAATCAAAAGAATGACAAGCTTTTATTTACAGCAGTAAGTTCTATTGTTATCATAATGTACAATGATTATAAAAATTATATCATATTTGTGATTACAATTAATAGCTTCTTGATAGAGAAACACGTAGGGAAAAAGTAAAGGAAGCTAAAAATAGAGAACAGAGATTGAAAATGAAATCTCTTCAAAATACCAATTTTGAAATCGAATATTCAGTAGTAAATACAAAAATTGATGAGGAAGATCTACAATGTCTTAATTCAAATATTAACAACACAATATTAATGAATTGTGAAGAAGACTATGAAAGTGCTATACAAGTAGTAAGTTCGATATGCTTTCAAAATAAACATAAGTTAATACATATAATTTATATTATATATATAATTTATATACCTAATATATTTATTAGGAATTAGCAAAAGAAGAGACAACAAACAATGAGGTAGTACATGACAAATATGTAATGAATGAAGTCATAAATTTAAAGTCATAGATTTTTATCATTTATGTATATATAGATTTAATGTATTCTTACTTTCTTGCACATTAAATTGATTTTATTTATATTACAACTTTACATATATACATGTATTTATTCTCATAAAACTTCAATTTATTTAATTATAATTTTAATAAAATAGTCGTTTGACAGATAATTTTACAATAATAATTATAAATATTTGTATATTATGAATGATACATAATTTAACGAGACGACACAAATATATACAGCAATTAAAAACTGAAATTTAGGTTTAATCGTATTGTCTATTGAGCATTTGTATCTTAAGAGTATAATTGAAACCTCCGATAAATTTTAATACCTACTGTGTGACAGTTACCGAGAACAACACATCTATTTCCTATAAAGTTCGTGCGTTTAAATTTTATTTATAATATATTTATATAAACTTAAAATTATTATAAAATAATAAAAAGAATTTATCACGATTTAACAGAATTAAAATTTAAATCTGAATACAACAAATTATAACAATAATAAATATTTTAAAAGGGTACCATTACTAAGGTTATATTATAAAAATTACTTTACATTTAAAAGTTTATTTATATTTAAAAAGTTTCTACGTAAACAATTCAATGTATTCTATTTGTGGGAACGGAAAAATCAATCAAAGAATATATTTCAACTAATGGAATTTTAAAAATTTTAGATGAAAACTTACATAACCTTTAAAAAATTCTATTTAATCGAAAAAACAGCTAAAGAGAACAAAATGTTATACCTTTTTGTAAGAAGTAATAACAAAAAAAATGACGTAAAATTAATTTATTAAAATATTACACAATTTATTTAGGAGTTAAAAACAAAATATTTGAAAGCCAAAAATATTGTAAAAGATATTGTATTTTTTCTTTAAACATAACATTTTATTTCTAACAATATATATTTTATTTACTTCACACATCTTTATAAGATATAATGCATTTGTTATAAATAAGACATAAAACGTAATAAAATTAAATTATTTGCAAATCTTCATTAAATATTACTTTTTCATTAGTTAAAAGCCATATATATCTGTACATTGTATTTATTAGAAAGGGACAAAATAATTAAGTTAAAAAAGAAATTTTGAAGAACATAGCAAATAATTTGAATATAGCTAAATAATTACAAAATCAAAATTATAATAAGAAAAATTCTATCATTAAAATATTCTAATTCACAACAAAAAAATAAAGATATTAATGAAGGTGGAGATGCAAAGTGTACTAAAAAAGAAACAGGGAAAACAAAGTCGAAATGAAATAAATCTACAGTCACTTGCAAATAGAAATAATTATGAAACCAATCTTCGAGATAGAGATAGTGATAATGATAGTGATAGTGATAGTGATAGTGATAGTGAGCATGTGTTTTATGCTAATGATATAAATATTACAGAAGATATAGGAAAATCTTCTTCAATATGTAATAAAGATAAACTAAAATTAATTACCAATACGGACTCCATTAATTTTTCGGAATCTGCATCAAAATCAATGGATGTTGTGGTTGACATTCATCAAGAATATAAGAAAGAAAAATCTCATAATAGGAATACTGGAAAAGATGAAGCATCAAATAAAAACCTTGCAAATCTATTTCTAAAGGAATCCGAAAATTTCGGATCTGTTTCGAAAACAAACACTATACATAAGAAAAATATCGAAAAATCAAAAATCAATTTGGTTAAACAGCAAAATTTATCAAAAGACGATGACATAAAAGTTGTAGATTCATTAGATTTAATAGAAGAATTTGTAGAATCTTCGATTGAAAAAGATGAGCAAAAAATTCAAACAGTAAGAAATATTAAGTCAACTAAAAAAAATAGCAATCAATCGTTTGTTGAAGAAAATTTACATGGTAGGAAGCAATGGGCTCTATCCAAAGATGAAAAAGAAGAACTAAAGAAACCAACGAGGAAGCGATGGTCAAAAGATGCTACTGTAATTCGATTACCGGAAGCAAGAGGCATTTTCTGGACAGATGTATCATCGGAAAATAAATCTTTATTTGTTCAAAATTTAGAACAGTCATTGTCAGCGACGCGGTCTTCATCGAAACAGAAATCATTATTTAGTTTTGACAATGCGGTCTTTGTTCCAGAGAATGAGGAAATTCTTAGAATTGAAACTGATCATAATCGAGATGACACGAAGATCGAAATAAAGGAAATTGTTCACCGCGTAAATCAAATGGAGCTTTCTACTTTTAATAATCGAAGTTCTTCAGATTCACTGAACGAAGAAGGTAAGAGCTTCAGGGAAACAGCAATTACGATCGAAGATTTAAACGAGCTTACGAATCTAGGAAGTCAAAGTTTCGAAAATCGAAGAAAAAATACGATATCAGATATTAAATATACTGATAAATTTAATCGTGATGATATACCTTCGAAAGGGAGAAGTCGCGCATTTATAAATAAAAGAAAAAATTCCCTAGATAAAGATAAGAAAAATATTCTCGATAATTCGAATACTTCGCAAAGTTTAGAAGAAATCAACACACAATCGAATGATCACTCTTTCGAAGAAGTATCGACAAAGGATGACCGTCTTTTAATAAGTAAGGGAAATAAGAAACATTATCAAAGGTATTCTAAAAGAGATTCGATATCTGTTACTAAAGATGATCACGATGAAAATTATTTAAGCTATTTTGGCCAAGATGTGACGTCTACCTCCGAAGATGATGATCTCGACGAGAGACGTTCTAGAGAAACTCACGATGAAGCTAGGTTACGAAGATCCAATACGAAGAAAAAGAAGACGAGATATACAAAGCACAAGTTACAAATGCAAGAGAAAAAGGACAAGAAAATGACACTTCGCAAAAGTATTTCTAATTCATCCACATACACACCAAATGTTAATGCCGAGAAAGATTCGAAAAGAAAGAAAAAGAAAAAGAAAGAGGACGACATAAAATATATTTCTATAGTGATTCACAGAACCGATATGTTAGAGATCGATTATGTGACGAAACATCCTATGGTGAAGGTTCATATAGTAAAAGCTGAAAGTGGAAAATATTTAAAAAACGAATACGGTTTGTGTACGTATTTGCAACCTATAATAACAGGGAAATTTGATTTCAAGGAAAAAAAATCTATAATACCGGTGTGGGAGGAAGAACTAATCTTCGAGCATGATTTCAATACACTTTTGAAAATCGATAATGAACAGGTTGTAATTCTTTTTGAAATTGTGGATCTTTTGAGTTTTGCCGAGGCTAGTTTCAATTATGATAAATTTGGTAAATATCTTGACAAATTTTGGTAATATAATTAATATTTAACATTAGATTAGAATAATTAATTTGAATCATATTCGAATGAATATGAATCATTTATTTTATTTATCAATAGGTCATGAAGGTTGTTGGTACAAAGTTGCATGGGCTTTTTTAAAGCCTGTAGGACGGAACAACGTGTTACATATTGATAAAAAAGTCAGATTACAATTGTATAAACCTCGAAAGAATTTGCAAAAATTTCAAAGACTTCATACATGCGATGTAAGTAATCATTAAACTCAATACAGTGACATTCGGTTAAATTCAATTAAAATTTGCCGGATTAAATTTATATGGATCATCCCCACTCCTCTTAAACTATCCAGTTCTCGAGTACAGCAAAACCTGATATTGTTGACAAGGAAGAAAGATCGATATAATGAAAGGAAAAGAGACATATGTAGTGCAAAAAAATGGCGCTATTGAAAAAGTAAACATGCAGAAAAGAAAATGTTACTTTCTTGTTATTTTCATCTCACCTTCGCAAAAATTGTACTAATGCACTGCTGGGACGTTTTAGATTCAAACGAGTTAGATCAAACACCATATAAATTGAACTATGTTGTTATGTTATTACATATCAGTTTGTTATCAAAATCAATAAAACATCAACATCGATGTTAGACTCATTTTAATCGAAAGAATCCTAACGATGCGTTGATATAACTTTTACAAGGATAACATAAAAATGAGTAAAATAAAATTTCTCTAGTGATGTACCATTAAAGTGTCGAATTTCGATTACGACTACTCGATGTACTGTATCTATGTCGCTTTCTCTCCTTATATCCGTCCTCTTTATCAGCCAATGCTTGAGTTGGTCCCTAAAAAAAGAGTTTATCCTGGTCAATTAAATTCAACTGCTGACTTCCGAACTTTTTGAATTTAACCAAGCACTGCTGTATTTGTTAGAGAAAATGGGCCACGTAACATGACCATCACTATTATTTTTATTATTAGCGAATCAGTGTACCTTTCGAATATATTATTGTATAGTACGAATATTCTTTCAAATCATACACGACACTCATTAACACCAAGTTTTGAAGGAAAAAGAGGTGAGGGTGAGTAAATACTAAATGCAAAATGTTATTTTCGGGAAATTATTTTTGAAATATTAATGAAAATGGAACAAAAGGCAAATTTTGAATAGAACATCTTATAAAAGCTGAACAAGTGCGCTTCATCGGTTACTCGATACTTGGTTCCAGCTACTACTGCAAAGAAACCAGTTGTTCTAGTCTCGTACATGTCAATTGATTTCTATGTATAATGCTAAAAGGTTTTTCTTAATATTTCGAAAATTACTACTTTTTTGAAAATAATATTTTACACTTAAAATCTATTTCCCTTCATGACTTGGTACCGATCAGGGGTGTATATGATTTGGGGGAAAACCCTTCATTTTTACAATATATTCAAAAATTATCAAGATGTTCTAACAACGTCAGTGAATCATAAATGCATGTTTATTATAAAATCATAATAATTATGTTATCGAAAGATGTATGCATTCACTTTGTTGTCGGTTATACAAATTTGATAGAAATCGTGGTTTTCGATTGGCATTTTAAACACACACAGTGTATTCAAATAAATTTGAAACTTAAGATTAATTTATAACATGTTATTCGGTTTATATTTGAGATATTGTATCATTACGTTATTAAAATACTTCTACTAAAATTTATTAAAACCGTTAAATTTATCTCAATATCCATTAATTGATAAAGAAAGATAATGTTATTATCTTTAAAGTTTTTTAAGCCACGTCATCTACGATAAATATAATTTTAGTTGGTATATTAAGAACAAAAATAATAGATATGATTACGTTACGCAGTCCATCATTCATTTTCGTAAATTTGAAAAAAATATTTCCATTTAGTTAGTTGAAAAAATCAATTGTTCCTTTCTATTGTATATTCTTAAAATTTATGCAGTTGCCAACGAAAATATTCGAACGCTTAGATTTATAACTTTTAGCAGATCAAACATGAATGTTAAATTGAAATGTCAAAAACAATATGACGTCTATGCAAGGGAGAAGTCTTAAAATTATACTAGAAACAGTAGAAAATAATTCAATTATTACATAGTATTTACAATGTATTTATTACAAATGTTTACCGTGAATGGACATAAATATTGTTACATTTTTAAGAACCAGTATTTTGTTTCATACAGGATGTATGAAAATTAAATGTCACGACCATTACAGCATAATTCTATACTTTTGAGTCAGTAAAGATCTGCTTAGAAAAGTAACCACAAAATCGTGCTTAAGTATGATTTTCAAGGCCAAAAATCTTTTTATTGGATCGTATTTTACTCGTTATAAGAAGAAAATGTCTGAAAAGGACTGTCACGAGTCGTAAATGAATCAATATTTTTTCGATATCACGAAGTTTACTCAATACTTGTAAATAAATATAAATAGATATAAGTCACTGCATAAGAAAAAAAAAATAGTTCAGATAAAAATTAATCCTTTGCACTCGACGATTTTTTGGCTAAAAAAGGATAGGAGTTCAAAGATTTTCTACCATAGAGCTGACGATATTTTTTTACATGTAATAATTAACACGTAAAATTATTTGATTTCGATACCTCTCACACCGTTACATTATCTTAAATTTGACATATTAATTAATATTGATGTTCGAAATTTTATCAAATGGCGACTGAAGAGTGCCTCTCGAGTGCAAAGGATTAAATGATTTTAAAAAAAAAAAACGTGATTTGATATAACTCATGGAGGTTGCATAAAGTTCAGCTATGGTTTTCTAACGTACTAATCAATCGTTATTTGCCTCAAAAAAGGTACTAACAATATTTTATTTATGTCGAAAGAATATTAGTTTAGAAGATATTTTAATCTAGATTTTGAGAAATTACAGATATTCATTGTTCTGAAATAAGGTACTTCGAGTTTGGTCTTTTCGAACACTTAAAATTGTAAATAAGCGTTTATTTTTTATATTCAGTTGTACTAGTGAGGCTAGTGCATGAAATAAAAGAGACTGTAAAAAAAAATCTTTACCTATCCAAGGATGTAAAATCACGTTGTAATAGTCATGAGATTTAATTGTCATATATCCCATACATCTTGTGAGACTGATAATTTCTCTGACAGGTGTAATTTAACGTTCTGTACTATTTATTAACGTCTTTATCACGGTAGTGTCAGTAGAATTCCATATTTCCATTACTTTCCCTTAACATCTGTTTTGATGTAACTTGATATTTATCTAATCTTTTCCCTATTTCTTTAAAAAAGAGTACTCAATTATTTATGTTAAAAAATTATTCATTTTGGATACATCTTAATTTCTACTCAATACTAGTAAGTAAATTCATAGATATGTCTAATGGAATTAACATTATGCATTTTTTTTACAAAATGTTAACAAAGTGTCATATTATTAAACTATTTATGCAACTGAATATCAAAAGTAATCATTTATTTACAATTTTAAGTGTTCAAAAAAACCAATCTCGAAGTACCTTATTTCAGAGCATTGGATATCTGTACTTTCTTAATATTTGGATTAAAATATCTTCTAAATTGATATTCTTTTGATATAAATAGCATATTTTAATACTTTTTTTTAGAAAACCAAAATTGACCTTCATCCAACCTTCATGAGTTGATCTAGAAAAACTAATTATATCGAATTACGTCATTTTTAGAATCATTCAATTTTTATCTGAACTATTTTTTTTCTTTTTTTCTTGTGGAGTAGATGATTTACGAGTAATTTACGTTTATAGATTAAAATTGGATACCCTGTATAATATAATTTAAAACTTTATGATACATTACTATACATTATGACATTATTAACAAAATTGCGAAAGTTTGTTGGAAATAATTTTTTATCAAATTTAATTTTGTTAGATGCATTTTGAAATTAAATGTTTTATTACTATTTAGGTATACACGTGGTGGAAGTCGAATATTCGAGAAAAATATCCCAGTAGCTTATTTGTCACCGTAACATCCATCGATCCACCTAAATTGGAACCTGTTTTATATGGACAGTTATCGTTGCACAATTTATCCGATACACGCAATGAATCACAAAAAATGCCCAATCACGCTTCAGATTCTATAAATTTACCAAAATGGAATAGATTGGGCGCACAGTCGTGCAAAATACCAAATGAAATCCTTTTCCAAACGGAAATCGCCGAGAATGGATGTTTCTGCATTGTCTTTAGCAACAATGGCAAATATTTGGCCTGTAGCTTTTCAGAAGAAAACGATTATCCTATTGTTATTTACGAGGTGAATTATTACAATTTTTCATTTTTGTCTATATTACAGATAGTTCAGAAAATTTGTCAATTTTTTTTTTTGTTACTAAATGAATAATGTAAATATTTTTAACCCTCGAATAGCCAGCCATACATGTGTGATGCAGCGAGCCAACACCGGGTCACTTTTGACCCATATCTAAATTATTACTATACTTGCTTTGCACCTAACTTTTTGGTGCAGGATATTATCTAATAATATTCATAATATGGGGAGGAGAGTAGTTTATTTAAAAAATGTAAAATTTTATAAATATATTTTTTTATTTATGTGCACGTTTTCTTACATATACATATGTACATCGTGAACATTTGGCACATTTCATACTATATTTGTGAAAATTGTAAAAATTAATGAAATGGAGACATATTTGACCGATCGTTTCTTTTCGCTGTTACACTGAATACTGTTATTTGGGGACCTTTGAACTTTGCACGCAGTTTATGTTAAGCGATAAGAGTAGGACCTGCAGCGTTGCCACTCCTTCTCTACGCTCAAATTTCGAGTCAACGGTAACCCAATATCGGTTAGGCGAGGGTTAATAATATGTCATATTCAATATTACATCAAACTTGTTTTTATGATAATTTTTAGGAAATTCGATAGAACATTTTTCATACAATGTAAATCCTGTTGCCTGTAATTTTAAAAATTATTTAATGTTACTACAAATTTTCTTGAAAAGAATCATATAATTATTATGTTATAACATATAAAGACATATGAAAGAACATTTTGTATAATTAATTTCAATGTATGATAACTCTATAAAATTTAATAAAATATGTTAACTCTTCCTTGATTGTTGTTAGGTTCAAGGAAAGAAGATTTATGTACGGTTTTCAGGACACAAAACGTTTGTTTATTCTCTCAACTGGTCCAGCAATGATAATTATTTACTTTCTGTTTCATCCGATCAAACTGCCCGCATTTGGAATGTACAGAATCAGATTGTAAAACATGTGGAAGTAAGAATCGTAACATTTATTTATAATGTAACTCGCTTTCATAGCATTATAATATTAGTTGGAATGAAATCGTATATTTAATAGATGATGCCTCATCCATCATACGTGTATTGTGGAAAATTTGATCCGAAGAACTCTTTAATAGTAGCAACTGGCTGTTATGATCGGATAACGCGCATTTGGTTGCGAAATAAAGAAATGAAAAATTGTGATCTATGTCAAGAATTGGAAGGTCACGAAGGTTTTGTAAATTCAATGTATTTCCAAAAAAATAGTAATTTGTTAACGGCAGATAGTGTCGGAATAATAATAATATGGATCTTAAAAAAAAATAAAAAAGTATCTTCTAGAAAGGAATGGTACATATCACGAAAAATAAAGGTTAGAGAAATTGATGGTATAATAATTAACACTATTATATTACATCCTTTGGAATCTAGACTTCTTGTTCATTCGAGAAATAATGGGTTAAAAATGTTGGATCTTGCAACTGGAGTAGTATTGCAAAAATACAATGAACTAAATAATCAAAGGTATTCTTTATTTCATAATGTCAAATTTTAATCCTATACAATATTTATTGTATACAATTACAATATATATAACACAATTCTATTTGCAAAATTACACTTTATTTAATTAATTTCAATTATTACTATTTTTAATTATTTTTAAATTTTGTTATAGAATACAGTCCACAGCTTGTATTTCTCCATGCGGCAATTTAATCTTTTGTGGTGGCGAAGATTCAACTTTGAATGTATGGAATTTAGAAACCGGAAATCTTCTAGCAAAATATACATTTGATCGACATTATCGTGCGGTAACTTGCGTAGATTATCACCCGTACGATCAAGTATTAGCTTTTTCAACTTTCGGCAGTCCTGCTCCGGTGAGAATTTTACGATTTAACAAGGATATTACGGGTGAAGATATAGGATTAAAAATGGTGAAAGAGGTTAAAAATACAGTGATGAACGATGATATTTCCATGAGATTTTTAAATACATCCATAATGTCTAAAGAAAAATTGCGATTATATAACAAGAAAGGAATAACTGAAGAGACTTCAAAAGAAAAGAACTTACAATCTAATCGAAATTACGATTCTAGTCTGTTTAAATTTTCTAATAATGTTATTTTAGAAAAAGATAAGTACACTGATACAAAGATGAAGCTTCAACGATTAAATGAAGCTGGACAAACGTTAAAAAATCGCAGTGCAAATCGTTTGTATAATATTATTGAAAAAATTGATAGAATTTTATCAAATACGACAAAATCATCAGGTGATATTGAATCTGGTAGAAACTTTACCATTCTCCGAAAATCGAATGAGAGCGAAGTTCTAACTAGTTTATATGACAACATAGAGAAAGAGGAAGAGACACTAAAAAAACAAAAATCTACAAATTTGAGTACTGAAGATCAATCAAGTTTTTATTTCGAATCTAGTGTAATGGATAGAGATAGTCAGAGAATTGTAAAATGTCATACACCACAAAGTAAAAGAATAAATGATTGGGATAAAAAAGGGACCAAGATACAAAAGAGACCAAGAAGTGCAAAAGAAACAAAAAGCAGTAACATACCAAAAAGTGACATATCAAAAAGTTTTTCTGATAGTGCTACAAACTATCAAAAAGATAAAGTATATGATAGGCTCACAAAGATTTCATCACCAGCAAATATTGGATCAGATTTTATTGTAGAAATGGAAGAAAATGATAAAACTTTGATTTACTATAAGAGTAACAGTTGTAAAAAAAGTGATTCAGATTCAACTGATAGTGCTAGAACATATGTCATAGAAAAAAATGTGATAGAAGATAATGATAAGAATGTGATAATTGAGTTTGAAAGTAAAGATTTAGTTTTAAACGCATTAGAGAATGATTCAAATATGAAATCTTTCGAAAGTGACAATTCACTACCTAGTAATGCAACTTTTACTATTAACCGTTTGAGTCCTAAGTAGTACGATCGTGCTGTTTAGACTTCATATCGAAAATTCTCGAACATTTAAATGCTATAGGCAAATGATGGTGCACACAAAAAAAGCGAGCGCTATCGCGCCGCTTGTTTCTCTTCGCAATTAAGACAAACGATATTGCACTGTTCGACATTTTTCGACAATGTTTTTTCAGTGATCCTGGAGAACAACCAGTTAAAAATGACATTTGTCTAACAAAACCTAAAAAAAAAAAAGATCTAGTCAGAATTAACATCTTTCTATAAATATGAATATAAAAATAGAACGTTTTAAACCATTATTTAAATATTTTTATATTTAAGATAAATGTAATTAAGATATATATTTTATATTTATTATTATTATTAATTTGTAATTTATTTTTATGTATATATTTTTTATTAATTATTAATTCACTTTA